ACTTTTAATTTTCAACCGTATTACAAAAGCAGTAGATTCTTTATGCGTCTGTATTTTGTATGCGTGTGTTAGATATACGATACCTTCACCAGTACCTATTGATTCGATTCTGACAATACTTTTTTATTTTATTTTGTCACGATAGTAGTAGCTTTTTGTCGATCATAGACAAAAAAATATGTAATTCACGTCGTCCAATTTTCATAATATATTTGGGAATTATTAATATTGCATTTAAACATTTCAAATAAAAGTAAATTATTAAAATCGGTTTAAAATTGATAACGTTTATATGCGTTAATAATTTTTTTTAACCATACCTATATATAAAAATTTGGGTAAATAAAACATTATTTTTTTACAAAAAAACTTGATATTGTTTTAAAATTTGTTAAAACTTATAAAAATGGAATGTGATTTCGAACTACATAGAATATGTAATTGTAATCTATATGACCCACATCGACGAATAGTTGTAGCTTTTTTTACAGCCCCAGTTTATCTATGGTTTAGATCATCAATTAACAAGCGTGATGTGTGATCAGATATCATTGAATGCAGAAGAATATACAAATATACCATATTATTTTGCGCTTTTCAACGACCTAAAAATGAATTTCTCTTTTTGGTTTAGGTAGAAAAAATTTAAATCCATAATAATTTATTCGTGTAGGATATAATAGTCGCATATGATTGTCATATTTTAGTTCTATTAATTCAATATGAATTTAATTGAGAAGAACTGGCGACAAACTCAATTTTTTTTTTTCCTAATAGCCAGTTTTTTTAGTATTGTTTACATAAGTAACGGGATTTTCATTAAAAGCTAGACATAGAAATAAGTCTATGTATACCTTTTAATGAAAATGCCGTGCATTAAAAATGCACGTTTGTCATTTAAGTAATCGTTTAGTGAGTAATAGGTTTCTCAATAAATCTGATTTAACATAAATTTTTAATTCCGAAATGTCCTTTAGTATCTTATTGTTAAATTTTATATCCATTCCCATAAAATTCATATTAACTTTTAGACGATATTTTAATATTAGAACGTTATAGATTACAATTTATCAGACTTTGTAAGTATGTAATATACTTTATTACCTAGTGTAAAAGGCCTACACTTGATACTGAAATCCGCAATATTGTGTTAATAGGTATATTGCCATGGGATGTGATCGGATTTCTCATCACCACTATAAATAAAAAGCGAGAAAAAAATATAACTATATATTTATATCACTTATCTAGTAGGTACTTATATACAAGCTTTAGCTTACTAACTTGGGTCTAGATGGCGCTGTGTGAATTGTCCTAAAATTATTATGGACTAACTGCCTCATTGTTACTAATATAAGTACCATGGTAAGTCTGGTGAACCTACAAGCAGTTGTCCCTGGTCGATCGTGATAATTTCCTTGCGAATTTGCCACAATGGGTTAACTGACCTGATCTCGTACTCCACTAGTGCCCCTTAACATAAATCGTTAGTACATTCCTTTATCATTAATTAAAAAATAACACATTAATAACAATTATAATACTTCAACGAAAAAAATTAAATTAACAATAAAACATATTACAAAACATAGCATTTCAAGTAGTTGTTCCATTCCCCTTTTACAATTAGTTCCGTTTAATTAATCTATCCCTCTCGAGCGATGGCTGCGTGAGTGAGATTTCCGACTACTGAGGTCACCATCAAACGAAGTAGATATCATTTGAGGTTGATAGAGAACAATATGCTAAATAAAATAACGTTTAACAAATGGTTTTGTATGACTCTTATACGTTTTTAAATATATTTTAGTATGATATATATGACAGCCTCGGTATAACATCTTACTTCAAATGGGGTTCGATTTCTCGTACGAGATAAACATTGGTATTCGTTTGAGTATATTTTTTTTATATTACGTACGTGGAGACCAAGTATTCAGCCAATCTGATGGTAAACAGTTATACCGTTTTTTAAAAAATATTACATCTTAGGAAAAAATACTAAGTAGTTGAAAAAATACTAAGCAGCTTGGTAGAACCATATTGTACTAACTTTGTTTAGTAACTTAACTGTGTTTGTATAGTGTCGTTTTGTTTAGGCCAATATAATTTAGAAAGCCACAATTTTTAATTACCTACATATTTACAGCAGATATGAATTGTTCATTAAAAAAATATATTCTCATTAATAATATAACATGTCACATCTTAGTGGAGTAATTATAAATAGTGGAACGCAAATGCTACTTTCAAAGAGGGATTTTTAACTTCTTGAAATTAGAACCTTATTATCTATTATATTGGTGTGTAACTCATTTTTCGATGTACAATACAAAAGATATTTATTTTAATACAATCTAATTTTTTTTATCAATTCGCAAATTGGGATGCCTCTAAATAAATACTCTTACAAATACTTATTACGCGACGCGACTTATAAAGTAGCAAAATTAAAAAAAATACAGCCGAATTGAGAACGTCCTCCTTTTTTGGATTCGGTTAAAAATATTTTAAACCACACCTTATGAAGAATATCTCGAATTTTTAACTAAGATCATTTTCATAATTAGATACGTCGTGTTAGTTAATTACTAGAAATAATTAGAATAATACAGTTAGAATTGTTATTTGATTGATTGTAATATTAATGTTGAGTTATGGTAGCTGCGTATGACTGACTAATTAATAGGAACAAATTCCTAATATATATCGATTAGACATATACTGTATATATCTTTATATATTTTTTTCTTATGAATGATAATCTGCACCCGCCCGCGCTAACAGTATACGTTGGCTAGCGTAATACCAATGGAGGATGAACAGATGAGCATGAGATCAGGTCAGTTAGCCCATCGTAAATTCTACATGAATTTATCACGATGGTTTCCAGGGGAAACCACGTGGAGGTCGACATGACATGATACATTGCTAACAATTGGGTTATTAGTCCACATTACTAACAATCTTCTTTCCCTACTAACTTTATATTAGGCATCTATATCTATTCTAACAGCTATGAGTTTGTATGTTATTACAAATAATAAGTATATAATAACGATATGATATAGCGGGCCCCGCTCTACCTATGATAGTATAGATAGATATGTATTGAACATATATACCTAAACATGTTTGATTATTTAAAATATTTTTCGTATATATGCATTTAGATTATTTTTTTATTAATTTAAACCTATGTCATTATAAATTGTTTTACAACATATTTTTAAAACAATTATGTTATTGTGATGATGAATATGAAGTTTTGATTATTTGAACTTATTACGTTTTTTAGATATTTTTTTTTATTAGATTATATTTCTTTCTGGATCAATTGGACCACAAGGTAGAATCAACTTTAATAATAAAATAATTGTATTATTTGATTTTAAAAAGCATAAGTATATTTTTTGACAGCATAAGTATATTTTTAGACAATTTACTTACAAAGTAGATACTGCAATCTTACCCTTAAATTAATTTTTAGTAGTTCAATGAATTGAAGTTGTATGAAAATAAATACTACTAGTAGTCTACACCGGCTTTCACCCGTCTGCTAATAACTTTATGAGTTTTAAATATATTCTCCCTATAATAATCTACCTTTCGAACTGTGAAAGAATATCTCAAATCAGTACAGTTGTTCCGGAATTTACTTATTTTATTATACACTCTTTTAATATTAGTATTTATATAGACATTCTACTATAGGCAATAAGTGGCCCTTTTTACTTATTTTATTATATCCTGATTCTTGATATGAGGTTAATTACTATTTATATAGACATTTTAATATTAGTATTTATATAGACATTCTACTATAGGCAATAAGTGGCCCTTTTAATGGCAATTCGAATTTCGAATTGTGGAATACGTTTCTTCATATTCGGTGCCTGATTCTTGATATGATAGGTTAATTTGTTACCGAGTTAGAAAACCTGTTTAGCTAAAATGTTGCCTTATGGGGTCGACTTAAGGTTTACTTTGACTAAATGTTAAATATATCGTAATACTATACGCGCCAGAATTTGAGGAATGTACCTACTTCAAATTTTCGACTCTATGACTTTTGACTTAAGGTTTAATATATTGCATTTTCTATGAATTGCAATCGTTGCTCGAAACAATATTTTGTATTTACTAATTATTATATAATAAAATAATTATAAATGCTAAACTGTCACGTTCGTTTACAATTATTTATAAAGTTAGTTGTTTTGTCAAGTCGTGAATAATATAAAAATACATTATTTTTTAAAGAAATTCTTCTGATAAGTTTCGATGCTTAGACTGTCTTAAAAAATCTCGTTCAAAACGTTTCTCTAACCGAATTTCTGCGAATGGTACAAAAATGTTAATTTTACATAGATACTGTTTATTAAAAAAGTTTTTAATGTGAAATAAAAAATAAAAAGAATACCTACAGAAAAATGCAACACATGTTACTGAACCAATCAGCTGTTTGTTGACTCGGTCGCCCCGCCCCGCGACTACTTTTCCTCTTTGACACATCAAAAACACAATATGCCATTTCAACGGATATAAAGCCGATATTAAAATATAAAGCTAGAAAAGCACATTTTTGTAGGCATGTGATAAATAGTTTATGAATTATTGATTTAATATATAAAATTTATAATAAAAAAAATCTACAAAAAAAATAAGCTTAGGTGCTCTTGGTATAGCGTTATACTTAATTTGACTGTAATTTTTATCTACTAAAACTAACTATGAAATGCAACGTTTTTTTTATAATCAATTATAAAAATGAAACGTCTGTTCTTATGAATAATATAAGGAAGCAAAAATATTTAAAAAGCAGTAAGCACCTCTAATAATCAATATCAACCAATGTTTATACCAATATTGATTTAAATCAATATAAATATCTGTAAAAATATAAGTCATTACGAGAATTAAAAAGTGCCAAAAAAGTTTCTTAAAAAGAAATTATGATGTCATGAAAAAATATTGTACTCTATTGTAAAGTTACTTACAATATCTCCAAAGGCTAAATAGCTATTAGACGTTAGATTTGTTTTCGTAGCAGTAACGCCGGTTAATTAGCCGGCTCTCGCTGATTCATCACTTTATAGCGTCTTAACGGCCAGTTTGAGTCAATCGAATTATTACACTGCAAATATGTCTCCTTTTCTTTAAAAAACTATAAGTTCCAACACTAGTACTCAGTTCAAATTTCGAACGCACTCGAAACTTTCAATTCGTTGACTTGTCAGAAATACGCGCGAAATGTTTTTTTTCTGCAACTGTCAAACGGAGCGCGAACAAATGCATATGCGGCCGTCCACGTCAGTACGCTGACGTTCACTAGTCGCGACTCAACGAAGTCGAGGAGAAGAAGGCAGCGGTCTCGGCCAACACGCCTTTCGTTTGTCTCTCTCTTACGTGGGTATGCCCGCCCGTACCATTTTTACGGTTTAACCGACTCAATTCAATTCAACTCAACTCAATTGTCGTGGCGCGAATGCCTTCGGACTGGACGCTAGAGTGAGACGTATAGCGTTCGCCTCATTTCAGGTGCCGCAAGTTTTTCGTACAGTAATCTATTTGATTTTACATACTCTTCAAATAGAACGATAACTGAAATCTGATACTGGTAAAAGTATCTAATGTTTAGACTGTTCGATTTAGGAATGAATATACAAGAAAGTGATATACAGCCTTAATCTTGGTTTAAGACGTAGCAGTGGCCGCGAATAGGTCCGTTTCGCTCGCGCCACTATCGTCCGGCGTGCGTTTACGTTACGTGAGACAGAGAAATCCGATCATTGATAGGCGTGACCGTTTTTCACGGCTCTCTCTGCTGGGTGTGTAAAGTTTTAGGCCGAAACATGTAAAAATGCATCTTGAAAAAAAGTTATGTATTAAAAAAAGAACCTTAGTACGCGGCGGGGGGACATTAATGCCTGTGGGAGGTGGTGAGGACTGCTTTTTTCGTATGCTGTATTTTCGGGGGTGTTCGTTTAACTGGACAATGCATTATCGGCCTGCTGTAGTTCGGACGCATCACCTTAGTACCTACCCTGTTCTAGCTCGGAAATGCGTAGATTGTGCATTCACGTAACTGCCTATTGTCCAAACGACAGTAATGTAAACATACTACACTTATGTCAATAGAGAATTTTATTTTCTATAGGGAAAATATGCAGATTTTAATGAAAAAAAATCATGCTAACCGAAGTTAAAGTTTGTAAAAAGTCATCTACGTGGGTATCTCAATGTCATCTACCAGTGCCACTAAGCAGTTTGTAATTTAAGACATGTGTTGGTACCTAGTAGGTTGAAAAAATAATGAAATATTTAGAGACATAAAATCATGTATGGGTATCTAACAAAAATCATTTTTTTTAACGTAGGTAGTGTTTATAAAGTAGGTATGTAACTAGATTCATCACACTATTAAAATGAAATTTCTTTAAAAAATATATATTATTGGAATATAAAACTCCAGTCCACCTTACGGTAGTAACAACCGTCTCGTATATAATAATAAGTGAGGACTACTTGTACAGTGCCATCTAGTCCCAAGCTAAGCAGAGCTTTTTTATTTTTATTTTATGATAATGGAATGGTGCACCCGCCTGCGCTAACGGTTTACACTGGCGGGGCACCAGTGGAGGATGATAAGATGAACATGAGGTCATGTCAGTTAGCCCATCGTGACAAATTCACCAAGAATTTATGACGATAGTTTCCAGGGGGAACCGCGTGAGGTCAACCTGACATGGTACATTGCTAGCAATAAGACAATCAATCCACATTACTAACTATCACCTTTCCCCCAACTAAGCAGAGCTTGTGTTATGGGTACTAGACAACTGCTATAAATGTATGAATATTTTTTATATCTACATACATAATATACTTACATAAAGAAGGAGGAGAAGATGATTGTTAGTAATGTGTGCTAATAACCCCATTGCTAGCAAAGTACCACATCAGGTTGACCTCCACGCGGTTCCCCTTGGAAACCATCATGATAAATTTCTGGTGAATTTACCACGTTGGGCTAACTGACCTGACTTCATAATCATTTTATCATCCTCCACTAGTATCCCGCCAGCGTAAACTGTTAGCGCAGGTGGGTGCACCATTCCATTATCATCCATAAGAAAAAATTTACATAGAGGGGGTAGTAGTAGTTTTAACAACTAAGGTTTCTTCAGGACTGTAATGAATTAATAATGTGTATTAATAATTTTAATACAAAGCGAAACTAAGGTCGATGCTGTTAAAAGAGATATATTTCGAAAACTGACTGACAATTATAATTGAACAAAATAAAAAAGATATTTAAAAAATGTAATAAAAATCTAAAAAAGTCGTCGTGTACAAGTAGTATAATAGACTAATAACCTCGTTTTCTTATCAATATCCTCAATATCCTAGAAACCATTAAGGGTAAATTACCATTTGCCAAGATGGGCTTACTTATCTGACTTCATGCTCATCTTATCATCCTCCACTGATACCCCGCCAGCGTAAACTGTTGGCGCAGAATTATTAAGTAGGTGATATTGGAATGCACCATTCCAATATCACCTACTTAATAAAAATATATAGAGAACACCCAGAGCAATACTCATATTGAGTTTCAGCTATGAATTCTGAATGAAATATTCGCTTGAATATAAAATGTTTGCACCATGCGAGGAATCGAACCCGCGACCATCAAAAGAAGCACACAGCCCACTTGGTGGTAAGTAGTAATCGTCGCCTGTACACGAAGAGCGCTAAGGATATGATCTCCTCATTATTATCTCAGGATCATGATATTGCTAATCAATAACGAACATTTGTAATTTTATTGTAATTTTATAAATGTATGACATTACTTATTAGTTGACAATCAATTTGATGATTCTGACGGCGGGATTATTTGATTGAATCATTTTGATGGCCCCGATGATTTAGCGGGTTAACACACGCCTTACTTGACCGATACCCAATAACCGACCGATACCAATGGTCGCGAGTTTGCACAAACATTTGTAGTCATGATTATGATTGTTTGTAACGGTCTGGGTGATTCTATGTATAATATATGTGTATTTACAAAAAAAAACTATGTATTTGTATCAGTTATCTAGTACCCATCACACTAGCTTTAGCTAGCTTAACTTGATGGCGCTGTGTGAATTGTCCTGAGATTATTATTATTATTAATTTCTTTTCTCACCATCATGATATAACCCTGTCTTACATCAGGGTATATCATGATAAAGAGAAAATAAATTAATAATAAAACTTGCAACTCTAATTTAAACTCTTACATAAACTGACACCAACTTTTAATTTTTTTTCCAGCCTATGAAAACTCAACACAATATAACCAAAACTGTAATATCGATTTGATACTTAATTGTAGACTTAAGTATATAATATATGATTCGTAAAAATTTATGCATCACGTTAATTTTGAGTTTTCACATCAACTATGTTTATATATTCAAAAACATTATTCTTGTAATACTTATTATAATGCAACATTTCATATGTCCACATAAATAGAGACCCATACCAATTACCTATTATAAAGTAGCAAACACGTCTGTCTGTCTATTGACTTTTCACGAATAAAAGACTGAAAGAATATTATTGAAATAAGACATGTTGAATGTATATTAAATGAGAACAAACTGAGTATCTATAATTTTTATCATTTATTTTATCTATTCTCTCTAGTTATTTATATCGATGGCGTGATTTTGACTAGAAGTAGGGTTTCTGTCTGTCTGCTAATCACGGATTAAAAGGCTAAACAGATCTCAAAAAAGCGCACGAATTCGCGCGGAAAGTCTAGTACCTAATATTTAGTATGATTTTTACTAGGAGCAAATAAACATGAAGCGGTTTCCCTAAAGAATTATATACAGAGCAACATCATGCCACATAACTCCTATTCGATTAGGAACGATCGCCTGCTTCCATATCTCCGCTTCCTAATAACTTTAATAATGTTGATAACATCCCACTTGAGTAAGTTAGTTCGAGTCCAGACTGAGGCCAAGCTACGTAAGTAAATTATAGTGTGCCAATACGAGCTGATGAGGATGGTCAAAGGACAAAGTGGTTAAGGAATTACATCTAGTGTGATGTATTCAATTTAATTACTTCACTTAGGGTTGAAAAACAGTACTTTTTATATCACTAAAATAAAGCTGATAATCTTAATCTAATTGGCATCTGTACATATACAGATAAATAGTACAAGATACACCACGAAAATTACGTGACGCTCATAACATTACATTCCATAGATTTAAGGTCTAAGAGTCGGACGCTGTCTCTATATGGCTTAGAACACGTGGATTTTGTATTATGCTATTATATGTATGCTATCTTTGCTATATTAAATTGGTTCACATGTAATAATCTATTATTAAACTCCAACAAAACTAAGTGTATTAAATTCACGCTGCCTAATGTAAGACAAGTAAATACGCAGCTATTGCTTAATGATGAAATAGTAAATTTTGTTAGTGATACAGTTTTTTTAGGAATAACAGTGGACTCGAAGTTACAATGGGGGCCCCATATTTCAAAATTAGCCAGTAGACTTAGTTCTGCTGCTTATGCAATTAGAAGGATAAGGCAATTAACAGACGTGGCGACGGCAAAACTTGTATATTTTAGTTATTTCCATAGCATTATGTCATATGGCATACTGCTGTGGGGTCTCTAAATACTATATTTATTTTACAAAAGAGAGCCATACGTTCTATTTATGGTATGGGTTCTAGAGAGTCATTACGTCAATGCTTTAAACAATCAAATATCCTCACCGTTGCCTCACAGTACATTTATGAAAATATTATGTATACATGGAAAAACTTAGATAGTTTCAAGAAACTTAAAGACTGTACAAGTAGAAACTTACGCAATAAAAATAAGTTAATTTTACCTAAATGCCGTCTACACAAAGTTAGTAATTCATTTTATGGTAATTGCGTAAGATTCTATAATAAACTGCCAGAATCTACGCTAAATCTGACAGAGAGGCAATTCAAACTTTATATTAAATAAATGTTATGTAAAAAAGCCTATTATAGGATAGATGAATTTATAGATGATAGCAATATATAGCAAGTATAAGTTTATTTGTGGACAACATTATAATTTGTTTTTCATACTGCTTTCTTGATATATGATAGCGTAGCGGCTTTTGTATTGATTGCCGCATGCATCCTCATGTAAAGTGCGAATACTGTAACCACCATATAGTAATTTTTGTAGCTGTGACGTGGTCGAGTGGAATGAGTAGTCATGCTCACTAAAATGTCCAGACATCTGGCGGCATG